GAAAAATTATAAGAAATAAAACTGAGAAACGATTGAAATATGTAAAAAATGAAAACTAATATTTAGAAAAAATGTCCTTTCCTAAAGAGACAGCTGTAACTGAACCTCGCATTTTATAGGACTGACTGGATGAATCATAGGGACACTGGTCAGTGATTACACTAAATTGTTGCTTCATCCCTTTATTTCTTGAAATCGATTCAAACTAGGCTCAGTATCGGTGTGATGCATATCGGATGCACTATTTATTAAATTTTGGGGAGTTATAAGCTGGCTTTCTAGAAAGGCCTAATGAACATAGTGGAAGCTGATAGAGGATTTAGTCATCCGGTCAATTGGCTTATTTCTAGAAATATATAAGTGAATTATTTGTTAGAATTATTCTAATACACCCAGCAAATTTAAATTAAATAACTTCTTAGCAAATATTTTTATAGAAAAAGATATATATCATATTTTTTAATATATTTCACCGTAATTAAATATGCAACTATATTAATGAGATATATTCCATGAAGTTCAGGAATTTGAAAGTGTTCCTTCAATACTTCAGAATTAGAATTTGAAAACTGTTCCCATCTTTCAACTGCTATTTTCTAATAGAAACGGAAGGCTACATGAACCAACTAACACCATCTAACTTAAACCTCTATAATTCATCTCCTTTAGTTTAGAATTACGAAAATCACTTTCTCATTTTAAACTATCAAGTATGTAAGTTATCATACCAAAATTCAATCAGTAATGCTAAAATTCCAAAAAGAATATATTTTTCGATCAAGTAGCAAGGAGAATTACGATAGCGCAATTGTCACAGCACGTGTTCGATATCATAACACAAAGACCATTCCGCCAAATCATTCATTGAATTTTTCCACTCCATTAATGCAGAAAGATTGAAAAAATTCATTGCGAATAAATATTAATAACTTCTCTTAAAAATGGCTTAATTTTATTGCTAAAAAGATTAGCAAAAATGGAAATGTTCAAAAATGGATGGGAACATTATGGCGTTTTAAGAGATTTTATTGTACATGCAAGGCGCTATAAATTCCGTCTCTCTATTAGATTGGTTAACATATTTGTAATTTTAATCGGCACGATCAAAAAATGATATTTAGCTAAATCTCACTGATAGATGAGGAAAGAAAAAAGCTTTTTATCTCTCATTGTTATGGAATATTTAGCAGGTCTTTCTTATCCTTATCTTATCATCTATCGAAAAGTTCAAAGTTCAAGATTTTTATAATTTAATTTAAATAAAAGCTAGTAATTTTGTTCTTTTAAATTTACATCTAAAATAAATCAAATTCAAACTCCAAAGAAAAATTAAGAAATGATAACTGTTTCATTCTGATAATGCTTATCTGTTTGGCTAAATTTGCTTCTGTAGGAGAATAAAAAAAGGAAACGAACTAGAAATGATTACCTTTTTTTCGCGAGAAGATTTCTTATAAAAATTAAATACTGAATTTAATATGAGTGGAAAGTTGCAATGGAATAATACCTTTGAACACTTTTATCAAATCAATGAATCACTTAACTTCTCAACAATCATTCACTCTGAATTTTTTTCTGGGAAAAAATAATTGAGTGAAAGTTTGTTTTGTTGAAATTCGCTATCATAGCTTATCAATGTAATGGATTTTTTTTCGTCTAAAAATCAACAATATTTGAATTGAGGAAGATATCTGTTTTGGACTTTCATACATATGGTGACCATATGAATTCCTTGTTCGACCACTAATTTAGTCCATCGAAACTGTTGCAATGGTCATGTCCTATCATATCTGATCTTATCACGGAAAAAGAGAAAACATCTGCTGCCAATATAGTTTCTGGCCAATTTTCTCTTTCTTTTTTTCATTCACATTCTCACCAATTCTCATTGAAATTTTTTATTCGTTAATTTGATTTTCTCAAATTAAAAGTGCAATAAAATTTGTTCACAATTCAAATTAAATTGCTGATAAAAACATCTGATCTGAAATATATATTTTTCCTTCAGAAGTCAAAATTCACCTTAAAGGCAAAACTTATTGTTGGTCCTTTAATATATTAAATTAACGTCAAAAAGTGCAAGTTTATTTTAAAAAGAAAAGGTAATAAATAATGAAAAACTAAGAAACTTTTAGTGAAAGAAAAATAGAAAAGATAAAGGATTGTTAAAATGGAAGCTCATTGGTTTGCATAAATGATTGATAGGCCTCTTTAGGCTTTCGCAGCATATATCCGAATATGGATTGGATGTTCGTTTTCCTTTTTTTTATTTCTATCTCGATGCTTTACCGTCTGACGGTTCATGAATAAATTCATTAGTGAAAAGCTACTGAAACTGAAAAACTAATTATTGCTTTCTCGATTCACTTCAGTTCTAAGACACATAGCAAACAACATGCTTACAGCCATGCCTCTGGCTTGGCTCTTTTCTCCATTCATTCTCTTTTATCTTCCCTTCGTTATTATTTCTAATTTTGCATCGAATAACATAAAAATTACAATGAGTCATTCAAGAGTGCCATACTCTTTCAACTCAAAATAGGTAAAGCTGCAACTTTGACGGATTTAAATTTACAAGTGGTATTGATCAAACTAATATTATTCAAATAATAACACATAAGCGAAAAAAGTTCCAAGATTGAAAAAAGGTGCTAAGTTGTATTTATCAAACTGAAGAATTACTCTTCTGTTTTACTGTAACACATTAAGAATTCCCAAACCTTTTCAAAATAAACGAAAAAATTAAGGAAAATTCTTTTATCTGAAAACTTCAAAACTACCATTCTGCTGGTAAAACAATTAGTCATAAAAGGCTGATATTTCATGCCCAACATCAATAAAAGATTATTTTGTTGATGATATGTGGAGGAGAAAATGGAGAGGAATTGGAATAATATTTTTCGAATGTTAATGAGCAAATGAAGAGATAACCTCGGAGCACTTAATTCCCACTCTTCAGTCCACCCTTACACTCAATTTGATGGCATAAAGCATAAATGGTACATCTATATCCATGAGTGCAAAATATTTTCGAGCTTACTTGTATACTTAAAATAATTTAACAAATGAAATATGTAATGTAGATTCATGTGTACGTCAGATATTTCTGACGTCAGATATTTCAAAAATATTTCAAAATAGCAAAATTTTAACTATTCCAAGTTTCAGCTTCTTCATGCAAAAACGTTCACAACAGCACACAGTTTGTAATATCCTAAACTTATTGATTGGTAAGGCATTTTCTAACGGAAAATAGACAAAATAGGCATATTTAACTCTCACAATTTTAATCAATCTTTCGCCTTCTTCAATTAAACGATGCATTATTGAACGAAATAGGAAAAGGAATCAAAATGACATGACAATGTCAAGAGATGTCAGATTTGATTCACAGATAATTCTAAAATATCTAATCTAATATAAGCTTCCCTTCTTATGAACGATGTCATGAATGAATTTGGATGAATGGACAAGAAAGATTGATATGATGTCCATTACGAATGACCATTTTACAATTTGGCAATTCTTTCTCATCCTTATAATCAACAAGCCTAAGTCTAACTCTAAAAAGTATAAAGGGCGATATGAAAAAAAATGGAAAATTTGCAAATTTCTTAGTGTTTTAATTAAGCAATTTCTTAATGTCTTAATTCTAGGAATTTGTCTTAATTACTGAATTACTGAAAAACAAAAATTGATGCCAAAAATTTTTCAGATGTATACATATATTTGAAATATTAGTTCTCGATAAGAAATTTTATTCCCTAGATTATTATTAAAATTTAATGCAATGATAACGATATAAAACTTTTTGATGAAAGAATTAAAAAATTCCAGAACTGATTCCAACATCTATAATTTAAAAAAGAATTAATGAGTAATTTTTGCATTTAGTTGAAGATTTTTTCTCTGAAAAAATTTTGGCATCAACAATTTTTATTTTTTAAATCGATGAAACTTATTGTTTGCAAGTTGAAGAACAAAAAGAATACAATTCCGCACTGAATTTGTAATCTTTCCAAATCGCAGATACCGTAACTATTTGGGATATTTAGGAAAAGTCCCCTGAATTACAAATTTTTCGAATTTTTTCCCACGATCATTTCCAAGTAAAATTGTTATATAATGTGATGAACTATTTAAAAATCAGTCAATAAAATAAATAATATGATTTAGACTTATAATAAATCGTAAATCAATATTTTTAAAACAATAATTTATGAATGGCTTACCATTAGATAACTGTGATATATAATCGGGTGATTTTACTACGATCAGAAATCAGAGATGACAAGTTTCGTTGTTAGAAATTTGAGTAATCATGGTATGATGAATTTAATGCTACTCATATATCAGACTCTTTACTAGTTGGTTTTTGCTTTCGTGATAATCTTGCAATGAAATTTTTTCCATCAATTCTTATCGTTCTTTCATTGAAGACGAATAATTTGTCGAAACAGCTGGAAGTGGTTAGTAAAGACAGAAGCCCTTCCTCAAAGTACCTCCATTTTCTAATTTTTACTTCATCTTATTTTATCGTTAGTTATTTCAAGATGAGTAGAAGAATTTTGAAAACATACATCTTTTGTTTGATTGCTTTGCAAACATTTTCACAGAAGACTAGTTCTTTTTAAAATTACTCATCAAATTCCAAAGAATTAGTTCACTCAGCTAACAGCTTCCATCAGCAATGTTACTTTCTTCTTTACTATATTTCATGAAATTCAAACTTTATTAAGTTTTGTAACTATTTTCATAACAAATTTTCCTTGCATCTCAAATAAACTTATCAAATTGAACTTTTTTTTTTTCAATTAGACGAAGCACAGCACATTAATTTTGCATCTTTTTTAGAACATTAATGGACGAAGAAATGGAAAGATGGAATTCGAAAGAAGAAAGAGAAATAAAATCGGAAATTTGTCCCGAAATTATGACAAACATTCGTTATGGTGGTGCGCAGGCAGATGATGACAACGAAGCAGTAAATGATAAATAATTGATATAATTAATAATTCAATAATTTTTTTTTAATTAGTTCCATTATCATCTGACAAATTTCAATAGTGCCAAATAAAAAATTTTAGGTAAAAGCCGCAGAAGAGAGAGCACGTAAGAAAGCAGAGGTACGTAAACGTCTGGAAGAGGCTAATCGTGCAAAGAAAGCCAAGAAAGGCTTCCTTACTCCGGAAAGAAAAAAGAAGCTACGTGTTAGTTCATTATGATATTAACATTTATAGTTGAAAAATTCTTTGAAAATTAAAGAAAGCATATACTAATAAATTCAACAAAATTATTTTTTTAACAAATGAAAAAAATTTATTATATATTGCAGAAATTACTAATGATGAAAGCGGCAGAAGATTTAAAACAACAACAGATGCTAAGAGAGCAAGAAAGACAACACGTCTTACAGGAACGTATTCTACCTTTACCAGATTTGGATAACATTCCGGACGGTTTGCTATTATATTACAATCTGTAGTGAAATTTCTAATACAGCTAGCTTACTTTTGCATTAAAAATACGTATGCAAATTGCATCCATACAAAAGTCTGATATACATATCATCGAAACGGACAGACAAATAGGCATAATTAGGATAGTCGATGAGTATTTTCCAAGTAAATTCCAATCTTTTTTTAATACATTACTCAAATTCTGGAAATTAACAAATAAATTAAAGGTAATGTTAAAATAAGTATAGAGCAGATTGAAATTCAAATTTATTTCACAGAATTTAGTAAAAATATGTGAAAATTGAGAAATAGACAATAGATATGTATTCGTGAATTGTTTTTTAGTTAATTAGTTAATTTGTTAAAATTAGCGCTTATTTTTTTTTAAAATTAAAAACGAATCGTTTTATAATAGTATTCGAGACTTCGAAATGTGGTATAAACATATATGTAAAAATTACATGGTAAAAATGCTATCTTATAATGAATAAAAATCGTTAAGTAACTTAAAATACGAATAAATAAGAGAACGTGAAAGGTTACACGTTCTATTTAGGCAGTTATACATAAAGTAAGGTAATATATGGTGTGCTATGAACAATAAGAAATATCGTTTTGTTAAAAGAGAAATTTAGGCATTGAAATATAATTGATTTATTGTAATAACTTATAAATCTCCAGAAAAAAATGATAAGAATGAAAATAACTAATAGAGATGGGAATATCTTCAATGAACTTTGAAAAGAGTGCCATTACTTTTACTATTACTTTCCTCTTCTGATCTACCATTTCTTTACTTATACTTTCTCACAGTTATGCGCTACTCCTCCGGTATATCTGACCTATGATTTCTTTAGAATATCAAAAATTCTTTTTTCAGTTAGAATTCTCATGCACAAAAAAAATATTTGTAGATAAAAAACTTTTTTTTAGAAGAATTAGAAGAGATTGCAAAAAGCATGGCTGAAAAATTACTGCAATTGGAAAGTGAACATTATGATATTAATTATATTGTACGTCAAAAGGATTTCGAAATCAACGAACTGACTATTTCAGTTAATGATTTAAGAGGCAAATTGTACGTTATTAAGTCATTTTTTTATATATAATTTTTAAATTAGATTCAAAATTGTTTACTAATCACTAAGTTTCATGAATGATTGATATTTGCAGCGTGAAACCAACTCTAAAGAAGGTATCCAAGACGGATAACAGGTTGGCATAATCGATTTTCGTATCGTTTTACTAATTTAGCAAAGAAATTCAATATATTACTCCCAAAAAATTGATGTCGGAAAGATGAAACAAAGTTTGCATCCGTAGTTTCCTGATAACCTTTGAACACGTAAAACATCTTCTTACAAATAATCGAACATTAACTTAATTTTATCAATTGAAAAAAAGTTTTAGATTCAGTAAGCTAAAGAAGAAAGATCAAAATTTTGTCGATTTCCGCACCAATTTGAAAAATGTAGAAAGTAATAAATTCACTCTAAAAGCGGTAAGTATTTTCCTAATTTCTAATCTTATTAAAATAAAAAAGTGTACAAATATGTTTTCTTATTAAAAATAAAGTTCCTAATTTTTAACCATATTAAAATAAAAATGTAAAAATTTAATCATTTTTGGCTTCTTGACACTTAAACACATTTTGCATTAAAAATAAACTTCCACTTGGATATGATTCGATGTGCATGATATGAAATTATAAATAATTATATCCAGTTGTTAATTCTTTAAAGTTTTAAATTAGAAATATTTATGCTTAATTTAATGACAAATTTTGCACAAATCTTTTGTTATTACATTAAAAAATTCTTTGATTTCTTTTTATTATCTTTAATTTAAATCTTTTTCAAGCTGGAAAAAGGCATTGACTACTTGTTTATCTTTATTTGAACTAACTTTTAACGACAAATTTTCGATTTATGCTTGTTTAGAGATCATTTTTTGCGAGTTTCATTGTTTGAAGTGTTAAGAAATTTCAATTATTGTATATCTTAAATTTTTTTTCAAGAAACATATGATATCTATAAGTTAATTTTATGTTTTTTAAAGGAAATAATTTTACGCTTTTTTAAAGGAAAATTAATGTTTTAAAGTTTTTTTGAAGGAAATATCATTGAAAACTGAAATCTAGTTTAGTATCAAGTTTCTACAGCAATCAATTACTTACATTTTCGTTATTACTAATAACCTTAGATGCTACATCTCTTATCACTGCTGATCTAAATATCAAAAAAAATATTGTAAAATTTGTTCCTAAAAAACAATATGGAGAATTTAATTAAAACATCTAAACTGTAAAACATCTTACAACTCCCGAGTATGTAAATGATAAAACAAGCTTCTATTAACGAAAATAAATAAAGATAAAATATTGATTGATCTCTTTAGNATGTCATTTCTCATTTAAATTCACTTTCATTAAATTTTCTCCTCTCACAAATAATGAATGCAAATTCTTGTTCTCTTTCAGCACAAAAAATATCGTTGGAAACAAAATGAATATTTCTGACTTAGTATTATATTTCGATTTTTGCAAAATGATTTTTGTGTTTTTTTTGTAAATGTAAAATGCACAATAAATAAAACAAAATTTCGGAATCTGCTAGAAATCTTCACATTTTCTTATATGTATTTTTGCATTGAGCATTGCTCGGTCCTTATTAAATTGAGCTAAGATCAAATATGTATTTTATGATGGAAGTCAAGATTTCATAATGTGCGAAAAAAGAACACTTTTGGTACATTATTTCTACAAATATCTTTCAATTTTGATTTCATGTAAAAGAAAACGAATAATAGCAATTTGTCACTGAATGGAAGTACTGTTTTAGTTCTCGAGATGATACAATTAAAGTGACTTTCATTCATAATAATACATCTCATATAATTGCAATAAATGTACCGTTTCCTTTTTTTTTTGCAGGAGAAGAAAGAGTCTGTTATTGATTGGAAGAAGTGAAAATGTATTAACACCAATAATACTGCTGTTAAAATTTGCTTATACAATAATAGCTTTATTAGACGAAACATTTATTTAAATAAAATTTTTTGTTGTTTGAAATATCTACAATTACTAATCTACCTATTAAATTATCAGAACGACTGCTGATCTGCCATAATTTGATTTAATAGGTAGAAAAATAAAAAGTACTGGTAAAATAATTTTTTAGTAAAATTAACAAATGGAAATTTCCCCTGTTTGTTCAGATTTGTTTAAGAATCAAATAATACCATTCAGTCTTTAAGAAAGATTTAAATGAAAGGATCAGTTGAAGTTTTGGATTTGATTGGTTTGTTTCACAGACAATTATTATTACAAAGGTTTATTCACAGAAGACTGGTGGTAACATTATATGCCAATTATAGCATCAACAGAGGAAGATTTCTCGACTGTTAATGAATGAAATAATCGTTTTGAATTTTGAACGAAACCGGTAGTGATTTGATTGGATAGCAATTTAGGAGAATATGGCTAATGAGACAGTTTGTGGCACTCGGACTGCCCTTTCAGTAATTATATGTCTTCTCATAGACTTGAATAAAGAGAGTTACGAAGTGATTCGATGTATGAACAAAGGATCATGTAATTATTTGAAGGGTTAAAATAATTGCAACAAAGAAATGTCTGAATATACAACGGTTAAAGTCAAAGGTAAATCAACGAGGTCCAGTCCTTTGAAGATGAAGCGGATAATACAAGGAGCCTTGTTCGAAATTAATCATTACAGTATTCTTTAGAATCATGAATTGAGTTATTGAACAAAGGATAACCTATCATTTGACTGAGAATAATTGATAGGAAGAATTTCTATAACGCAAATGCAAGGATACTTTGAATACGTAAATATTTTATACTACAGGGTTATTTCGGCTTTTTCCAACATTATTGTTGTGGAAGAAACAAACATTTATCTTAGGAATCAATAAAAATCATCATCCAAAATTTCTTGTTACCAATGCATGTCGTTTTTATTTTTTAGATTAGTAATATAATAGTGGTATATAAATGAGAAGGTATAAGAAATGAACTATATACTTGTGAGGCAATCTGAACAGATATGCATTGATGGATGATGAGAGATAGCATAACACTAAATTATTACAAAAGAGCTTAACCATAATTCCTTTGATAAAAGAAAAAATAAGGCCTACAAAAGGCAAGAAGTATAAGCAATTTCAATAATAGTATCAAAAGTGAAGAGATCGATCTTTTCCGATGGATGGATCAGATTTGCTGGTTTTAAGACAACTCAATTCGAAATTTCAATGCTAGTAAAATGTCCCGAATTTCGAAAATGATTAGATAAACAGAGGTGTAGAAGTAAATTAGACATTGAACAGTAATAAAAATTTATGCTTAATGGAAATATTTTCATTAACTAAATGATAACTTGTCATAAAAGAAACAGGAAACATTTTTTTTATTAAAAAAGAATGTGCAACAGAATAAATCACTTTTTTCATTGCTGATCAAAATTTACTATTTCTATTTTTCATCTCAATCTTTACGGGGGAGTAAATTTAAAAAAAAAAAAACTGCAAAAGTCAACTTTGTTTACATATGTTAAAATGAAAAATAGTTTATGAATATCAAGAATTATCTAATTTAAATCTGTTCAAACTCTTTATATTTAGAATCGTTGGAAAGCTAATTTATAAATCAAATGATACAGAAAAAAATAATGTTCCATACCATTTTATTTATCCATTTTTCCTGTAATTTTTGTAGTTCTATTCAACGTACTTCTGGCAGTAAGTTTAAATTTTTAAAACTGCCTTAAAAAACTGACAGAATTACAGGAAGATCAAAAACATTTGGCTTTATATGGAAAAGTACATTATATGATATATGCTAACCAATGTGCTGAACAGTTGGCAATGGACGTAAGGTAACGTAACAGATGATGCTACTTTGGAACAAGCGCATAACACTCTCCATTTAAGTTATTAGTCATAAATTGATTGATATAATTATGCTTCTTTTTGCCTTCAATGATTTATGCGAATATGTCAACGTGCAGCTAATTTTTTTTAAATTAAAAAATTAGTGAAGTATTTGCTGTGTAAATATCAATAGGTTAGATGTATAAGCACTCGATTCTACTGAATCTGAAGAGTTATTTCTTTTTAGCTATTATGATCAATCCATCAAAAAAAATGTTGATTTAAAAACTTGTTAAATTTTGTTAAAGTTCATGCCAACTAGGAAGCGATGATCACCAAGTCCTTTCATGAAAAAATGAATATGTTGTCTAGGAGAATTGAATACTTTCAATAAATGCTTTTAATTGTAATGGATTTTTTTACAAAAGACGAATTAGAAAAAATGCTACATTGATTATTATTCAGAGATACCTACCACTTATGCAAATAATAAAAACAATAAATCGGTGAATAAATGATGTAAAAACATGGATAAAGAATAGGAAACTAATAGATATTCAAGATGAAAGTGCTAGCACAGAATCGTCTGCTATAACACTGCGATAGATCAAAAAATAAAGAACTGAAATACATGTAACGTAAGAATTGCAAGTAGAAATTGAGAAGCAATATACTTATCTAATAATGAAGAACTAATATTTTTTCACATGAAAGAGCACTACTGGGGTTAATTTCAAATAAAAAACCTAAGCACAGAGTTACATTCAAGACGATACCTAACAAATCTCAAAAGCTAGCGAAATAGAGATATTTAAGATTAAAATTTTATTCGAAATTTACCAGAATATGTGCGATATGCAAATGTAACACAATTCGGTTTTTGAAAAGGAAAAAGGAGAGATACTTTTGTTACGATTTTTAGTATGAAAAAGCAGTAAAAATAAATAGGAAATTGAAAATTAACTAATAAAAATCTTGCTTCGAAAATCCTTTAGTTTGTAATAAAAAAAATGTCATATTGGAACATCGCAAATTGACGAAATGATCTTTCTGCTTGATATAATTTTGAAAATCAGTAAAACTGAGGTATCCTCTTCAAAAAAAAATCAGTAGTACGTCTCACGCTCAACCCATCCGCCAGGGAATCGTCGAATGTAGTAACGTCGAGCCTCATCATACACAAAAATCAAGATAGAAAATGGTAGTGCTGGGAACCACCACGAAAATCTGAAATGTTGTAATACGTCAAATTAAAAACAATATTATAAATTTTATTCGAATGAAAATTATTCGAACATTTTACCGAGTGTAGAAAAGACTTACCGCAGACCA